TAAGCTCACATGGTTTTTCGCACAAATTAAGGTCACATTTTTGTAATAAAAATTACTATTTTTGAACCTCAGAACGAGGACATAGCCCTACGTTATATTACATATATAATGTCAAGTATAAATGTCCTTTAAAAGTATTATCTTAAGTTTCCAAAGTGGATGTTTTAGAGGGGAATTTATCAATAAATGGAACGACGTTTCTACGATTGGCCTCTACCATAGGTATTTTACAAATAATATAAAACGTGCTTTCTTTGATACAATGTAGTTGAAAATTTTAAATCTTCTTCTTAAAGGTGAGTATTTTTTAAAATTCTTTGCTCATTTACCATACTTATCTGGGTTTTGTCGAAATGTAGCACCGAAAAGGGATAACATTGCAGAGAGAAACCATACTACAGAGTAAGATAATGAAGTATTGTTTTTTTTTTAATAGTAATAAATTTTTTTCGATGAAAAGGAAAATTCTACTGCATTTACGGTTTGAAACGTTAAAATTTTGCAGTGGGATGGAATACCTTGAAAAATGCCACCTTATTAACATACAAAGCAGTCAAACAAATGAAAAATACTATTATCACCCTGCGCTAAAGAGTCAGAATGTACAGAAAATACAAGTTACAGTAGCTGTACTGTGCCCGTGTCTATGTTTCTGCAAAGAGCTACTGCTTTCAAAAGTACGGATAAAAAGACAGCTGCAATTGGCAAGAGACTACAAAAAATCAAATGGAAATAATTGTTATTTTTCAGCCAAGAATATATTAAAGTTCTAGCAATTGATTTGTATGAATTATGTTTTAGTAAATGAAATAAAACTCAAATAATGTAAACAAATACTTTTAAAATGTATTTTGATGTCTCAACACACAATATTACATTATAACAATGTGACCTTAATTTGTGCGAAAATCCATGTGAGCTTAAAAAGTTTGTTGAGCTGTATGTGTTTTGAATTTCCTCTGTCTTTTTAACTCTCTTTAGCGCGAGAAGTATTTAGAAAATTATCATATATTGTTAAATAATACTTGATAAATCGTTAGTGTTAATTATTTAGTTTTATTTAATAACCAACTAAGTATGTTTTGAAAGGTATATTGGATAGGGAAATGAAAATTTTAACAATTGTTTGTCCATAAATCAGCTGTTCATGTAGACAGTGTTACAAACATAAAGTTAGCAGTGATGATGATAAATGGGGTAATTGACAACAGTTAAATGAATAATTGTATGTAAGTTTATCTCATCTGATATGTAAGAAATTCATTGTATTACTGAAAAAAAAATTTAAAACAGTGCCTCTTTCAGTCTTGGAGTTTGAATGTCTGATTTTTTTTTAATTTTTTTTTAATTATTGTTTGCTATTGTTTTAGCTAATGAACTATACTGAAATTAATAGAGGACTTCCATAACTTATTCATATGACGGATGTGCAATTTTAATGAATCGTACGACGCCTGGAGCTACCATTTTCGGGGGCCGGGCTAGTGGAGGTAGCCCCTTGGGCTAGTAGAAATTTTAAAATACACATGTAATACACGCGGGTTTGTTAAGGCAGCACATGGATCAGAATTCGGCGAATTAACACTTTTTTATAATTATGTAACACTAATAAATCGGAAAAGTCAAGGATAAAACTTTAACTATAATTATGCATTCTATAGACTTCAATGGGACTTAAACTACAGGAGGCACTCCACCACGATGTCACCACGTGACGTCTATAATTAGAAAATATGCCTTAATGAAAAAGTGAAAAGTTTAACACTACCCCGGGGATATTTAGTTCCAATTAATTTATATTAATAGTTATGTAAAAACATCTCTGTACCATGAAAAGTGCTGCTAGAATCCTACTGTACTCTTATAGGAATAATTATTCAACAATTTCGAACGAAACCTTCCCAAAATTTTTACATTTTGTTCATAACATCGAAAAAAATGCATTAATTCCCGTAAACCATACGATTCTAGCAGCACTTTCCAAAAACAAAAGAATAAGAACTTTAGATAGAAACAAAAATTAAGTTTCAAGGTATGCGGCGTAGTGTTGAACTTTTGCATCTTTTTCGTTACAAACGACAGAGGAAAGGCTGATCGGCAAGTAAACACCCTCCCTGCTTTAATTTTACGAAGAAATTGCAGAATTATATTACCATACCTTATTCATACGCTTTATTCTCACAAGAATCACACATGATATTCATTCTAAATGCTTTTAAACTCCGATTTCTTGTGTTTGTTTACATCAATTCTCGTTACTTTTCACTTTCACTCTGCTACTGCATGATCAACAGTTATGACGTCACGGGTTTGGTATGTAACCCCTGTGATAATTACAGAGGCCCAGGAACGACAAAATTCCGTTGATATTATTCCTCTGCATATTTTAATTCATTTTTTCGACATCAAATCAATCTTAGATATCGATTTTAAGAAATTGTTATCTCTAAATCTCACGTCATATAGCTTATTATGACGTCATATCATATAGGCAAGTAGAATATTTGGTTGTAACCTTAACCTACCTGCGCATGAAATGCACAACACTGTCAACAGGTATTTTCACTTTCTTTTTGTATTAAATTTCCAATGTGATAATTTTCCAGGTAGCATGCTCCTATTATCCATAAATCTCCATAATCTCACTAATCGCATCCATTTTGCAGTACTACCAGAGTTATATACATTATACTGAAAAAAACGATCGGTTTTTCCTTATTTGAATTTCCTCCGATCCTTTGTTTATGGTATATATTTGCATGTACGTACATACATATATCTTATTAAATTATTTACATTCACTCAGTCAACTGAAAATCATAATCATTAATTTATATATGATTAAATTTTACTAGCGAAAATGAATCTTTTATTTAAAAAAGAATTACCTTTAGTTAGTACATTGACTTTTTCATGATTAACTTTTGTTCATTGTTTTTTTTTTTAAATTTTCTTCTATATTTGGCCTATTAACTTTTTACTTGGGGATAGTTACTTTATTGCTGCCACCAGACTGTGGGCTAGTACTTGAATTTTATAATTGCTCAATCCTGTATAGGGCTGGGACGATATATCGAGATATCAATATATCGCGATATCTGTGAGGATGATACACATATCGATACCTATGAAGAAATATCGAAATATCGCCCGAAAAAATCTGACTTCTTTTTTTCTTTGTTTATTTATCATTTGGGGTTTAATATATAAGATAAATAAGCTGAGTATAGATATAGATATGAAATAGATAATAACTAACACTAGTTGAGTAAAATATTTTTGTTTTACAACATGTAAACAGTTATTTAAAATATTTTTTTCTTATTTGAAAAGAAATAAATTGTTTATTTAAATGCAAAAAAAGATTTTACAGGCAATTAAACATATCGTGATACATATCGTATCGTGGCTCAAATATCCTGATACGTATCGATATAGAAAAAGTTGTATCGTCCCAGCCCTACTCCTGTATATGATTTTATAGCACAAAAAGCTTATAGGTTTACATATGTGAATTTATATGATTATGCTTGATTGTGAAATTAGGATACCTTGAAAAAAGATTTATTTTTCTCTAATGATATTTATAAATAAACTTTTTCCTAAATAATGTTAGAATAAATTGGGTTTTATTTTTCTTATTGAAGTAACCAATGATTGCAATAAAATTCAAAACCATAATTATGTTTAGTTGAGAATTAAACAATTTTCAATAATTATAATGTAACATGTCAAACAGGAACTTCAGGTATGAACATTGCAAAAACACATTTCGAAGAAGATGACCCTCAGAAATTGGACAGTTGTAAGTAATCAGTAAAAAAAAATCAGGAATAATTCATGCCATTCATAAAATTTGTAGAAACATTTTCGTCTTCTTTAATTAGAAGAGGGAGAGAAAAACATCAGAGCATGTACATAATTACTAGGAAACCACCATCTAGATGCAGGGAAGCTATTGTTAATGCCATGCAACTACATAAAACCTCTTTAGTCTTCATGTTCAGTTTGATAAATTTCCTTAGTATTTTTTTTAGTGTATCTTTTGATACCTTTTACTATAATCAGATTTGAATCATTTGTTTTAAGGGCATCTGAGGGTTTGGTTCCAGAACTTAATAAATTGGAAAGTAATCACTATTCAGTCATAATTTATGTTAATATAACATTTTTGTCGTGATAGAGGAAGCATACAGGAAAAGAAAGAAGACTTGACATCACTCCAAAGGAAGAAAACAGCTTTATCTTGTAGGTGTATTTTTATTTAATGATCACTACTTCAGGTCTGATCTGGTGAAAGTTATTCATATTCTGTTTGACTGTAATTTTTCATATATCAAGTTCTATCCAGCTTAGTCAATTTTAATTGGACTTTGTGCAAAGCATCATTCAGGAAGGAGAGGGAGTGTCGAATGTGTCGCTGTCCATGTCAATGTAATTGAAAGTAGTGATTAAGGTTTTGGTCAATTTGATTTCCTCTTTAGTATAACCATTGGACTAAAAACAGTAATAATGTGAAAGATATATCGTGTAGTGTAGATATGTTTTATGAAGATTATGGCCCCCTATTGTACTGATAGTGTCACATTAGAAGTCTAAATTTACTTTGAATATGTGTAAAATCTTTAAAAAAAGCACCTTCCTAAGAATAAGAAAACTACAAACTGTAGTTGAATTATGATTCCATTTTGTTAAAATTATGGCAGTTATGGGTAGGATGAAGATGCAATTAGACATTGAAGAGAGAGAGAAAGAGTTGATAAAACTTTGCATTTTCTATTTTATTTATCAATACATATTTGTGAGTAAGAAATATACGTCTACTTCTTCGTTGGGTCTGATCAACATAAAAGGTAATCTTGCTATAGCCAAGTAAAACACATATATGGTGTAGATATGTCTTTATCTAATTACAGAATGAATGAAATGGACAGAAGCAGAACTGAAGGAGATGCATGAGGAATATTTCAAAGAATGCCTGAACACAACCACTACTCCTGGAAGACAACATAGCAATATTGCAATATAAAAGAGCAGGTCAATGGAGGTATCATACAGTTTAGGCCATGGGAGACCCTGAAGAATAAAGTATTGAACAATAATAAAAATAAAACCATTTTGACATTTATTGTAATACAGGATTAAAACCGTACCTGTACAATTTTTGCATGTAATGACTTTTCTCTTGCTCTACAACTAATTACAGTCAGTATTTGATTGAATATCTTGATCCCAATTCGTCAGATTTTGACATAGTGGCATAGTGCATAGGATTTTTTAAAGTTTTGATACGAAGAATTTCATACATTGTACTTGTATCTGAGTTTAAGTTGACAATGAAAAGTTTAGTTCCTGGTGCAACATACTGTTTAATTTCCGGAAAAAAATTTGTTTGTGATTTCAAACTCAGGTTAATGAGGTTATATCTTTTAACATTGGCGACTATAAAATTCATTCCTTAAATATCAGAAGTGCATGTTCCTGATATAAATAGGAATTTTTATAATTCTTTGACAGGCTTGTGTAATCGGTTCAAGAATTTGTTTTCATATAATAGAACACAATCTGAGCAACTGAAGAAAAATATTTACTCAAGGTTGTGATTTTCCTACGTGGCAATGTGGCTTTTAAGTTAACAAACAACATTATTTCTTAATGTTTTAGTACTCATGTACTAACATATTTTTCATCATAGATAAAATGAAGGTTTGGGAAAGAAATCTTTTCACTATCTTGCTCTACCTGTAATGAGTTATACTTGATGCCAAGTTGCAATATTTAAATTTTACAAACATGGTTATAAAATGGTTTTTTTTTTTTTTTTTTTTTTTTTTTTGCTTTAACAGCCAAATAGTTAAGGCTCAAAATGCTTATACCTTTTCCTATCATTTGTAATTTGTACACTGAATGAGATGTTGATTGTTAAAATTAAAGTATTCAAGATTTTTTGTTTTAGATTTTTATATGCTTATGCAAATAAATATGAATTTAAAAAAGGGAGAGACAAGTGTCATACCTATTGGGTTTGCAATCTAATGCAAGAGTAGAGATAATCAAGACAAATTTGACAATTGCAAAGGTGTCCAAAACCTGTTGGGGGAGGGTGACTTTAATGAAGGGTATAAGTAACCCAAGAAGAATTGGACGAGTAAACATTACCTTTTGGGTTTTATTCTAATGCCGGAATGAAATATCCAAGAGGAGCTGGACAGATATCCATTTCTTATTGGGTTTTTAATTATAAGATTTTAAGAAACCCAAGAAGAATTAGACAAACGTCAAATATCTCTTGGTTTGTATACTATTGAAGGGATGAAGATATCCAAGAAGGAGTTGGACAAGTGTCCCTTTCTTATTGGGTTGTATTCTGATAAGGAGATTAAAGAAACCCAAGAAGAATTGGACAAGTGTCCATTACCTTTTGGGTTGTATTATGCTGAGGAGATTTAAGTTAACCAAGAAGAATTGGACACAATTCTATTGGGTGGGATGAGGTATCCAAAAGGAGTTGGGCAGGTGTCTTTGTCTAATAATTGTTTGCATTCCGAAGAAAGGATATAAGAAACCCATGAAGGATTGGACAAGTGTCAATTACCTGTTGGGTAGGATGTAGGTATCCAAAAAGAATTGGACAGGTGTCTTAATATCTGTTTGGATGTATTCTGATGATGAGATTTAAGTAACCCAAGAAGAATTGGACAAGTGTCCATTACCTGTTGGGTGGGATGTAGATATCCAAGAGGAGTTAGACAGGTGTCCATTACTTGTTGGGTTGTATTCAGATGAGGAGATTCAAGAAACCCAAGAAGAATTGGACAAGTGTCCATTACCTGTTGGGTGGAATGTAGATATCCAAGAAGAGTAGGACAGGTGTCCATTACTTTTTTGGGTTGTGTTCTGACTAAGTAATTTAAGAAAACCAAGAAGAATTGGACAAGTGTCCATTAACTGTTGGGTGGGATGCAGATATCCAAGAGGAGTTGGACAGGTGTCCATTACTTGTTGGGTTGTCTCCCGATGAGGAGGTTCAAGAAACCCAAGAAGAATTAAACAAGTGTCCATTACCTGTTGGGTGGGATGTAGATATCCAAGAAGAGTTAGACAGGTGTCCATTACTTGCTGGGTTGTGTTCTGATGAAGCAATTCAAGAAACCCAAGAAGAATTGGACAAGTGTCCATTACCTGTTGGGTGGGATGTAGATATCCAAGAGGAGTTGGACAGGTGTCCATTACCTGTTGGGTTGTATTCAGATGAGGAGATTCAAGAAACCCAAGAAGAATTGGACAAGTGTCCCTTACCTGTTGGGTCAGATGTATATATCCAAGAAGAGTAGGACAGGTGTCCATTACTTCTTAGGTTGGTTCTGATTAAGTAATTCAAGAAAACCAAGAAGAATTGGACAAGTGTCCATTAACTGTTGGGTGGGATGTAGATATCCAAGAGGAGTTGGACAGGTGTCCATTACTTGTTGGGTTGTCTCCCGATGAGGAGGTTCAAGAAACCCAAGAAGAATTAAACAAGTGTCCATTACCTGTTGGGTGGGATGTAGATATCCAAGAAGAGTTAGACAGGTGTCCATTACTTGCTGAGTTGTGTTCTGATGAAGCAATTCAAGAAACCCAAGAAGAATTGGACAAGTGTCCATTACCTGTTGGGTGGAATGTAGATATCCAAGAGGAGTTGGACAGGTGTCCATTACCTTTTGGGTTGTATTCAGATGAGGAGATTCAAGAAACCCAAGAAGGATTGGACAAGTGTCCATTACCTGTTGGGTGGGATGTGGATATCCAAGAGGAGTTGGACAGGTGTCTAATACCTGTTGGGTCCTACCTCCCACCAAAGAGGTTATGTACTATGTCCAATTGTTCTTGGGTAAATTGATTCCCTTCATCAGAATACAACCCAGCAGGTATTAGACACCTATCCAATTCCTCTTGGATACCTTCATTCCACCCAACATGTAATGGACATTTGCCAATTTTCTTAATATATCTTGGACATGATTTAAAAAAAAAGGTTTCTCCCCAAATACTTGTTTTTGGTATTCAAGAAAGGTTGAACAGAGTCTGAGATGTGTTGGGTTGTGTTTGCATAATTCAGTTTACTATATGTAGGTGTTCATATATTTCAATATAAGGTGTTTCAAATATCAATCCTAATAGCTAAGAAAAATGTTAGGGGTTACAATAAAATTAAGCTATCACAGAAATGGACAAAAATGTGTCTTCAAAACCAAAGGATTTCTGTATTTACCAGCAAACAATAAAAATATAATAAGTTTGGAATGAATAAAGAATAATCGGAAAAAAAATCCAATAAAATATGGACATTGGGATTTATATCCAATAAGATTTGAACAGCTCCTACCCAAATAATGCTCTCTCGTGTGTACACTTTTTTTTGTATCCAATAAGCAGTATCCAATAGGTCTTGGACTTGATGTACCCAATATATAACCAAATGTGTGTCCGACGGACGGACGGACATGAGTAACAGCATTATACTCGAACTTTCTTTAGTAAGTGCGGGTATAAATAGAAAATTCACATTATCCCCCATGTCCCCTTGCACATCTGTTACAGCCTTGATTCCCCTTCGTATGGAGTTCATTGTTGTGTTCTTATCCTTCAAATTGGAATAATATTCTATCCTTCCGATAAGGCAGCCCTTAGTTGACTGAGTCCAACTTAGTCAGTTTGAACCCATCATCCACTTATGTTCGATGAGAAAAAATTAAATCTACAGAGACCAGTGTTTGCTAGAAATTCTGACGAACCCTTACTACTTTACGTTAGGGGGTATCAAGCCGAAACAAAAGGCAAACCAACATAAATCTAACGAGCTTACAAACCAAAATCGGAAAATTGGTTTCTGTCAGTTTTTGGGTGAATGTAACGATTATAATACTCAGTAACCTACCGTTTGAACAGCAGTTTAAGTGCAGTGAGAAAGCGATTGTACCGGTGAAAGGATGAATTGCAAACTCTCGATGCGGCGTCATGGGGAATGGTCAACGTCATCGTTAGGGTTGGGTCGAAAGCATTTGAGCATTTGAGGCTCTCTCCGACGACAGGTAAGAATTTTTTATCAACTGCACAGTAACCTGTTGTTGCCTTTGTCTTACTGTGGAATCATTATTGTTCGTGGGTGACCAATGTTCGTGGCTTTCGTGGGTAACCTTAACCCACGAATTTACATCCCCACGAATGTAGATACAAACATATATTTTATCATTTGTTAAAAGTTACGATTACAGAGACTATTTTATATCGTAAACTACCCGTTACCCTTGTGTCCCTCTGATCGTGCATAAAGAAGACAAACTGTATATTATGTGGTTAAACACACAAAACCCAAATAAAAAAAATAAGTATCAAAGACATCGATAACCATACACATTAAGCAATAAAATGATAAATACAACTGCTTAATTTAAGTAGTGTTCACATTACAGTCCAACACGCTCAAATGTCCCTTTAATGAGGTCAATTATCAGTGCCATTTTGGAGTAGTTCTAATTAGCCAATTAGCATGAATTGGTTACAGGGTATACGTATTATCGTTCCCATTGATTTAGAGTTCTGCGTGTCACTGGTGTTCTTACAATTATAATTTTTATTCACTATGACATTACGGGTGTAATCTGGCGGTACAAGCCCCGGTAAACATTTGTGTTCACAAGATAGATAACTTAAATAAGTAAAATTGTCGGAGTTATCCTTCTTCATTCTAACTTAGAGAACAAAAAAGAAATAAAACTTGTAACCAACGAAATTACATCCCCACGAACTAGGAAATATTTGGCATTGATCCCCACGAATAAAAATGATTCCACAGTATCTTAAGAAGTGAATAGCCAGACTCCATATAACTTCCATTTACCTTAACATAATTATAAGGAATTCACATTGTAAATACCGAAAACGATATGTAAATCTTAAGTGAATTAATTGGTACTACAAAACCTGTGAGGCGTTTTACCACTTTTTGTACGTGACGTCATTCATTGCTCGGTTGAGTAATAATTCTGAACACTGATTTTAGTTAACAGTAGGCAAAATACCCCCTTCCAGTTATTTTTGGACACACCCTCAAAACAGTTTCGAACTTTACATAACCCTGCACTTTTTTCTCCCAGTTTATTTTGTTATGCATTATTGTTTGTCTGTAATCTTCATCCAATGATATTTTAAAAATAATTATTATTATTGACAGAAGACATTAAATCAAAATTTTCCAATTACGTTATCTGGACAAGGAAGACAAGGCGAGTGTGACAGGTGGTCATTGGTCATTTGCAATGTTATTCTGTTAAAAACATTCTGATTGTAGACACAAGTACTCTAAAGTTGAAATAAAAAAAAATGCTTGAGTTTCTGTTTGACAATATCTATGTGGGTTTTGAAAACCAGGTCTTAAAACAACCTACTTGAAATACAATGGGCACCAATTGTCCCCCGTTATTTACAGACCTATTTTTGTATTCATATGAAGCACAATTTGTCTAATTAAACAATAAACATTTCTTTAAAGCCAATCCGGCGTATTTTTACCAATCTCAACTCTTGATTAATCTGTGACCTCTTTCCTGTTCAGCAACCCCGGCATAAAAGGAAGCAAAAATCTTATACGTGAAAAGAAGACAATGCTTGCTGTGACCTTCAATTCGCCATTTAGATATATCGGCGACATATTGGTTATTTCAATTTTATTCCGACACAATATATCCCGGTGAGCTCTTGATGAAAGATACAACAGAGTCTGACACATCTGTTTCATATGAGGATATCTTACCTGTAAAATACTTTAATGTTAATCTAACAACAACGCTTTATGAAAAAACGATGATTTTTACATTAACCTTTATTACCTGCTTCAAGCTGATTTGATACGCAAGAGCCTGTCCTACGTAAAATTATGTACAAATAAATTTTGAAGCAAGGTAAATTATTGACATACATGTTGCTGAAACAATAATATCAGCAGATCATTTAACGTCAACGTAACGTTTAAGAGCACACGGAGGGTTTGAAAGGTAGACAGGGGATGTTCACTTCTCCGTCGCACCCGATACCACCTACGATGTATAGTGGATTGTTCAACAGACTTTTGAACTTGAATATTGTTCCTTATCTCCAAATATTACGCTTGAAATGTGCCGCTGCTTTCTTATTTTCGATATAAATATTTGATGAGGTTCATGCAAAAAACTTTGTAAATGTCAAACATTTTTCAACTTAAGTCTGATAAATTGAAATTTATAAGAATGTCATATCTTCCAAAAGCAACCATAATAAAAAAAAATACAAGATATGTAACTCAACTCTTATTTTCGTCTTTTTTGTTCATACTTCATATGCACTATTTAATTAGTTTATGACCTCAAAACGAGGTAAATTATTGACAAGCAAGTCGATGTAACAAGAATATCAGCAGTCTCGTTTACAGACATCCTTTTGTAAGTTTTATGATCTATACAATGACCTTGTGAGCAAATACAATATATCATTGAGTCAAATGCTGACTGACATTTTAATACCAATTGTTAGACCATTATTTATACACTGAATTGACGACGGATTTTTGCGTTATTTCCCAATCATGACAAGAGCACACGGCGGGTGTGACCGGTCAGCAGGAGATGCTCACTCCGCCATGGCACCTTATCCCACCTCTGATGTTAAGGAGGTTTGTGTTTGCTCTGCTCTTATTTTGTATTGTTTTATGGACCCTGAGATTGAATACTGTTCTTTATCTCCATATCCTTCTCCACGTAGTCCTTATTCAATGCATTTGTCACATGACTGTTAAATTATCGACCAAACGTAGTCCAATACAGAGTTTTTTTTGCAATTCAGTCATGTGATAATTTAATAGTTTTAATACAAGAATTTGATTTGAAATGGTATATACTTATTCGTGTATATACATATGTACATGTACTTATTTTAGTCATTCATTCATATGATATCTTCATAACACATTTGAACAGTGTTGTGTCTTGTCATCTTGTTCTTGTTCTTGTTATCAGTTTACCTACACTGTTGATGTAATTTAGCACTTGATAATTTGAATCATTTTAATATTCCCAATATTTAAAAAAAAATCAATTATCACACAATACTGGACTCATAAAATTCCGTACAAGCAAAAATATATAGCGGGTTCCAAAAACAAAGGTACCTATCTGATCCAAGAAAATGTTCTACCGAGCTCTTTGTTCATTTTTCACTTTAGTATTAACAACAGTGAAGTAGAAACCGCAGGAGTACTGTACACCTATTCATTATAGAAGTTGTTTAATCATGATCAGATGTTGACATATGTGCTTTGAAATTCAGAAAAAAATCTTTAAAAGAAAGAAATAAAATAATTTGCCAAACTCAATACCATTAACACGTTCGACTTTTCAACACTTTATATACAACCATTCCCAACGATAAATTAAAGTACAGGTTTTTTCCATCACTGGCAGCAGGTTTAATAATAATAATGGACCTCGTTAATTTTCTTACCTTATGACTGATCATTTATAACATTATTTATATTTAGAAAAAAATGTTGTATGAAACATGTGGATAATAAACAATATTCAATCTTTATAAGTCTATAAAACAATACAAATACCCTAATGTAGATTTTCCAAAGGGTCTGGAAAAGTTTTGGAAATCCATGGAATTCCAATCATTTCCACACATAACTCGAAAAGTGTGTCTGGAAGTTTTTGGAGTATTTTGGAATTTGAAAAAAAAAATTGGACTTAGACATTTTTGGGCTTGGAAAGTAGTGGAATTCTTTGGAAAAAATGGTGAAATGAAAAACTTAGCCATTTTCTGCGCTGGAAAACTGTGGAAAATTACTTTGATTTTTTCAACTTTCGACTAATAGTACAATAACATCGGGATCGAAGTCGGGCTCGATGAACAATTAATTTTAACAACTCGCTGAAATTCAAAAATATCGAATGCCATGTTGATGTTGCACAGAAAGAAAGTTAGAACGAGAGTGTCACGAACAGCAGGATCATGATTAGCTTGGGGTGGAAGAAGATTGAAGACATTTTTAAGACCGGTAGGTATAATATTGTACAGCATTTTATGTGTCCTTGAATGAAGAATGCTTCTGCTACTTTTGATTAATCCGGGCACCATACATAAAATGTCCGACGGTGAAATTGTTAGGACAAGCACTATTTCTGTAATGATTATTTTACAAATCTGAAATTAACAGTAAAATCATGGATTTTAACCCGAATTTCCTTATTTGGAGTCAAACTGATGTAACGAATTTTACCTGCACCTTCCTTTGTTCAAGATAATATTTACAGCGTATGATGTACATGTAATTAATTATATATTTTGTAATGCATGTTCATGACCATTTTCAGCTCTTATCTTGCATGTTTTGATTGTTTTAATAGTTGCTGCATTGCCTGAGATGATTTTCACAGCCCTGGCGTTTGATTAAAGTGGACATACATGTACATGTAGATGCTTAGCCAATCAGTCACTAGGCTTGTGAATATGGTGAGAACCAGATCAAATTATCATTCAAAACAAATAAACTAACTTTGATTTTATGAATCCATGTTTTTTAGCATAAGATTAAAAAAAATATTGCAACTATGCCAAGTAAACAACTGTTGTGAATGTGTTAACATTAACAATGTTTAATTTACTATTCATTTTCTTTTTTATTGTGATTTTCTGTAATTGTTTTCATTGTATTTTATATCCTAAGTGTAATTGTTCATGTGTCCGTTTTTATCAGGTTAAAGTATATAGTGTATTTTTTAGTCCGTTTCCGTTTTTATCCGTGTGTTTATCTTTTGTCTAGTTTTAGAAACAGGAAATAAGTAGAGCAGAAGTGTAGCAGACGTTTGTCAGAAGTCAGAGATAGTCAGATCGTTTAATTAAAGTTTTTGATATAGATTTCAGTCACTTGTAGAATTAAGGTAAAAGGTAGACTTAATAGAAGAGCTTGTGCAGTAGTAGACACAGATTTCTAGGATTTTGAGATAATATGCATGTTGTAACTATTTCCAATGTGGCATGTTTTTTTACTTTCAGTCTAATGTATATTTGTTTTGTATTGTTTATATGTTTGCATATGTATATAAAATGAAAAAAGGAAAAACCTGTGTGATTATTCCAGGAACTGATAGACAGTCGCCACATTATTTGTCCCGGGTTCCGGCACCAATCAATGTGGCGACTGTCTATCAGTTCCTTGAATAATCACACAGGTTTTTCCTTTTTCCATTTTATATACATATGCAAACATATAAACAATACAAAACAAATATACATTAGACTGAAAGTAAAAAACATGCCACATTGGAAATAGTTACAACATGCATATTATCTCAAAATCCTAGAAATCTGTGTCCTAAGAAGTTTCTTGTACGTCAGAGAGAAAGTTCACATTTGACTGAGGAAGTGTGTAGCAAACAAGAGACTTCAAAATTTTCTCAGAGTTCTGAGAATAGTTTATTATCATCAGGGGATATTGTTTTGATGCAGACGGCTCAAACAGAGGTGACAAACCACAATGGAGAAAATTCAGAACCAGCAAGACTTCTCATGGACTCAGGATCCCAGAGAACCTACATAACAGAAAACTTAGCTGAGAAATTAAAGTTGAAGATTCTTACAACAGAGAAGATATCCCTCATAACTTTTGGTGCGGAGAAGCCAAAAATTGTGAAGACACCCAAAGTTTCTCTGAAAGTGAAACTCAAAGATAGACATTTTCTTAGTATTGAAGCAAATGTTGTACCAAACATTACAGGAACAGTACAAAGGAAGCCTATCCCCAAGGACGTACAATTGAAATGCCAAAGTTTGTGGAAAAATCTTCAGTTAGCAGACACTCTACCGGTGAATTTTGAAAACTCAACAATTGACATTCTGATAGGTAATGATTATTACCTGGATTTGATTTTGCCAGAAAGAATTGAAATTCAAAAGGGATTTTATTTACTAGCTTCCAGACTTGGGTGGATTCTCACTGGAAGGACCCAAGAAGCTTACAGTAAAGAGGAGGAGCAAGTGATGATGATAACCAATGGAACTTTATCTTTGACAGAGTGTTGCCTCCATTCTGCAGTGGATGAGTGCTTGACATTTAAACCTTCTATTGAAGAATTCTGGAAGCTGGAGACTATTGGGATTCAAGATTCTCCCCACACTTCAGATGATGAGAAAGCGCTGAAAAATTTCAACAGCACACTGAAAATGGAAAACAAAAGATACCAAGTCACCTGGCCGTGGAAAGAAGAATATCCTGAGCTACCAGAAAATCGGGAACTAGCATATGGAAGGCTAAAGTCACTACTTCACAAGTTACAGTGTAACCCTGATTTACTGCACAAGTATGATGACATTATTCAGGACCAGTGTAAAAAGGGAATAAAAGAGAAAATTCCATCCCAACAAAGAGAGACAGATATTAAGCATTATATACCTCATCACGCAGTGATAGATTTGACCAAACCTACTACAAAGGTAAGGATTGTGGTATGATGCATCGGCTAAGTCAGGACATAAGAAAACCAGCTTGAATGAGTGTTTGCACAGGGGACCTGTGATGCTGCATGATTTATGTGGACTTCTGATGCGCTTTAGACTTAAGAAGATAGGAATAACAGCAGACATTGAGAAAGCGTTCTTACAAATTGGCTTACAGGAGGAAGACCGTGATGCTACTAGATTCTTCTGGTTGAAGGATGCTAACAAGGCTACAGTAGACAGCAATGTACAAGTGTACAGATTTTCCAGAGTGCCTTTTGGTGTGATCTCAAGTCCATTCTTACTTGCGGCAACTATTGACCATCACCTTAGTACATTACAGGAGTTGATAACATTCAAGAAGCAGAAATTCTATACAAGGAGGCCAAGGAGATATTCAGTAGTATGTCCATGAACTTGAGAGATTGGGCATCTAATGCCAAGGACTTTTATGAGACCATACCTGATGAAGATCAATCAGCTAGAGAAAAGTTAAAAATACTCGGATTGACTTGGAATCTTATGGAGGATGTTCTTTCAGTGCCATGTGGAAATTGTATGAGTAAGACAGAACCAATTACCAAAGGAGAAGTACTTCAAGTAGTTGCGTCAATATTCGACCTCTTGGATTTTTCACACCTGTGTGATTATTCAAGGAACTGATAGACAGTCGCCACAACAACATTTAAAGGTTTATATTCTTAACATGCATAGTTTCCCTAATAATTTATAACAATGAATTCTGAAAGATAATCTAAACATGCTAACTGCACGGGTATGTATCTAATTGTTTTAGACCAAATAGCTATCATCCTCAATGAAGTATACATGCATTTTACAGGAATCCAAAATGCTCACAAGATTTAGGACAAGAGCTGTAGGAAAAAAAATGGTAAAATTTCTTCATTATTTTCTTAATCAATAAAATTAAATCACATGAATTGAAATTATATTTTTTTCAATGTTAGTCGGGCATTGAGCTTCAGCTCTAGCCTTTTCATTTTAGCTCACCTGAGTCATTTTAAGGCCTAAGTGAGTTTTTTGATCAGTGTCACTGTCTGGCGTTTGTCTGTTGTCTATTAACATTTCACATTTTTACATTTATCAGAATTAATCCTAATTTGAACAAAAAAGTTGCAAGATAGTGAATTCATATTCTACAGTAAACTGATCTGCCAGGTAGAAAGAACCAATTGTTTTGTACAGCTTTAGTTTATTATCTGTCATATATTTATATGGATATCAATAATGATACATCTTAATTGTCATCTCCTCTTCCAGAAATTGTGCAAGGAAAGTTTTAAGTGTCTGTTGGAATGATCAACATCGAACTCGCTGAGCCTTCGTACTAAAAGTGAATCCGTTCGTGACGCCAATTATCTGTCAACCCTCTTTTGCAAATTTCATAGGATATCTGTGAGGAAGTGATTCTAGCAACATGTCAGAAGTTTTGGATCTTCCACAATTTGGATCTTTGGCACGTACATTTGGGGAAAATTGCAACTGTTGATTTTATGGGATCTTTGTATCAATGTAGTTGTGTAGTACATATATTTTTGCATTCAATACATGTGTTTGTCACTCTAGTCAGTAACTTTTTACAGTAAATTTACATGGGCCACTGGCAATTTATTGTAAATGTATATCCTGCTGAGGTTTCAATGACCTCTCCCAATCCTTGGCCAATGTCATTTAATGAATCTAACCTCTTATTCAAAAAAAAATGCAGACTTTAGTTTACTACATACATCATAACATATATATCACAACTTGATTATCATTAATTTAACCAAGGCGATCCTCCAGTAATCGTATTTTTTCTTGGATATTATTGTTAATAACCTTTGATGTAAAATACTTTGAAGTTTCAGTGAGAATACATGCATTTAAAAAGTGTGCTTATATTGTACATCTGAGAGTTATATGCTATTATATTTGTCTCTAAAAACATTGTAAAAGAAACGGTGATTTTTTTATTTTGCAAATATAGATTTGATCTATAAACAACTGATAAAAAATTGTGATGTTATCAAGTTTTTTTGTAATTATTTGGTACTAATACAGTTTTCATTGTATTTTCCTGGAATTCCACAGATTTCCATGGAATTCCTTAAATTTACAAATAATCTGGAATTCCACGGATTTCCTCCGCAAATTTCTATTCTGGCATTGTTCCGCTCTTTTCCAGGCTAGATTTAAAATTCCATACCATTCCGGAAAAAGTTCCGTCCCAATACTCTCAAGAATTCCGTGTAATTTTGTGGAACAAAATTTACGTGGAATTCCATGGAATTTGTTATGGAATTCCACGGATCTTGCGGAAAATCTACATTAGGGTAGGAGCAGAGCAAACATGGACGTCCGAAACATCAAAGTTGGGATCAGGTGCCATGGGGGAGTGAGCATCCCCTGCTGACCGCTCTCATTCGCCGTGAGCTCCTCGTCATGATCGAGAAATAACAGAAAAATCCGTCGTTTATTCAGTGTATAAATAATGGACTAACAATTGATATTAAAAACGTCAGTCAACAGTTGACTCAATGATAAATTGTATTTGCTTACAAGGTCATTGTATAGACAATAGAACTTACGAAATGATGACTTTAAACGAGACTGCTGATATTCTTGTTTCATCAACTTTCTTGTCAATAATTTACCTCGTTTGAGAAATTTTTCATACGTAGAGCATGCTCTTGCGTAACGAATCAACTGAGATATATCAATGTACAAAAGTTCTCTGAAGTTGAGATAAAGAGATGCTTGAGTTTATGATTGACTTTATCTATGTCATTTTCGGAAGCAAGAATTTCCAAAAATATATCGAAATTATCATGGGAATCATTTTGCGCCCCGTAGTCAGCAAACTTATTTTTGTATTCATATGAAGCATGTTTATGTGAGAAAAAAATTCTCGTAGGAATACCGGTATGTGAACAAAGCAAATCAGAAGGGCATGAAGTTTTTGGCTTATAGTTTTGTTTGCCCAATTATGACAAAGGGTGTGACCTGTTGACCCCCGTAATAAAAAATTCAGAGGTATGAGTTTTGTCCTGTACGTCTGTTTGTCTAGCTGACTGTGTCTAGCTGGTTCTTCAAAAAAACGTTAACCTTGCCGATAACATTTTAATGGTTTGCACTATGACTTTCATATTTTATATGTATATGCCTTTTGCCAAGATGAGAAATATTTCTAGATATAGAACTAGAAACGTGATAAAATAAAATGATTACTATATTTTCATATAAAAAAAAACCTTTTCATTTTTAGAAGTTTAGAGATGAAGAGTTTAATTTTGCTATATTGAGATGCATCCTAACATACCTTTAGGAGGCGACAATGGTGTACTTATTGATACATCCCAAAATAGTCTGCTGTTATATATTTAGATCGTATTACGTGACTGTCAGATATTTTATAAAGATTAAAATCTAAACGTTTTAAATGATTTGACCACGGCATATTATATTGCTTTGTAATATTTTGTTAATTTTATTTACTTTATATTTATTTTTAACAGATTTATATTACAATAATCAGTTTGAAAAGTCATTAATTAAATGAAACGTATCGCATATATGTAAATCTAGTTTATTGTGTCGCCAGCAGATCAAAACGGCACGTAGAAATCACTTTACCCGGTCTGTCTGTCAGTCCGTCTGTCACACATTATATTTTGAAAATATGGTCTTTTACCATGGTTACCGAAGAGGTAATCATTGAATCCTACTTTTTGAAAAAGTCGACAGTGACATTATACATCTTCTTTTGACATTCAAGATAGTTAATGTTACATGTTTTTAGCTTGTGCACTGTTTGTGATAAAACATTTTAAAAAAAGAGCGTTTCAATCCACTCCACCTTAACCTTTGGCATACTTTGCAAAATATAACTTATGTCGTTTAATTTAAAGTTACAGTTATAGGGATTTGATAATAAACATCTAAACACGTTTATGAGCTCATGAATATGTCCTTTGATACATACGAAACACAATAACCATAAAAACTGAAAATTAAGTACTACGAAAATACATCGGGATCGGTTTTGTGTAGACTGACTATTGTGGTAAAAACAAACTGAATTCTCTTTCTATAGAATGTGCATGAAATCACGTATAATAAATTGATTTACTGATTTATCTTTGTGCGTAATAATTTTATCTTTAATAATATATATTTTACCTTTGAGAGGGTTGGGAATATGAATTTCTATTTGAGAGCCAGCTTCTATCGCAGTCTTACTATCCTTTGGTTTTCTTTTCAATAGCTTAAAGGAGCAGGTTTTGGCCATTTTCAGACTATTTTGATCTCTTTTAGAGAAAGAGCTCCATAAAAAGATATAACAAAATTATCAAATTTAACAAAAAAACATTTATGAAATTTTTCTTTGCCAAATGATAGCTGACAGCTTAAGATATCATATCCTAAAATTTTAAGTTATATCTGATGGTTAATAAGAAAATAATTCGTTGATCTCCTAGCCTCCTTATTGATAGTATCATAACAAATAGCTGACCTCTGTTAGAATTGGCTAGCTCTTGATGCATTTCTTCTTTATTTATGTAAATCTTCTAGTAATGTTTCATTAAAAAACACTTACCTTCTGCATGTCCTGTGTATCTGTATATTTAACCAGAAGGTTTATAACGTCAGGGCAAGGTGTACACCCAGATCAAAGTAAGTTTGATAGCGCACCCTCCTTCTCAAATTTAGATTGATCACGTGCCGTCTTTTTATAGAGAGATGTCATGGTATTAGGATGTGTTCTTTTAATTCTAGTCAACTGGTATCTGATATATTTTACACCTACTGATATAGGCAAATTTAATATGCAGTAACATACATTTAATACGTCATAAACTCTCCATCTAAACAGCGCATAAGTATACTTGAAATAAGTAGAATGCAAAAAATAAACTTTGCTTGATACTAGGTACATGTGTATATTCTCCATTTAATAAACATAGTACCTGATATAACCAGTATTTAATTATTTAGCTAACTCAACATACTTTGTAAATATTCAATATGAAAATAATTTGTGCTAACAATTCTAGTACTACAGTAATACAATAAAGATTCTTTTAATCAATATTTGATTGGAACTGTACTAATAAATGTTACAGCTACGAGGGTCATTCAAAAAATACGTAGACAATATCCTCCGTCATCATCTTATTCTTATAAAATTTTAGATCAACACATTTTTATATGTAAATATATTTATTTCATCAGTGTGTGTTGAGATGTGGGTTATACACTTTAAGAACTTGAATAAATGAAGGAAACAAAACAAAATGAAATTTTAACAAAATTTAATAAACAAAACAAAAGTAAATTGTACAACAAAAAAAAAACAAATTAAAAAATATAGAAATGAATTGTCTATCAGCAGCACGTCAGTCCTGGAAGAAT